CTCGGATCTCCATAGATTGGGATATGGCAGGAGTATTTATGGTTCTTCTTATGGTCTTGGGAGGCTTGGTTATTTGGGAAGGGCTGAAGTGGATCGTGGCGGAGCTTTCGCAGGAATGGCTACCAGGAGCTTCTCAGCGGAAGCTGAGGAAACTTCGAAAGTTGAGGGATGCCACGACGTTAGCGATTGAGAGAGAGCTGGAGCGCATGAGCATAGCAGCTGACACGGAACCTACGGCGGGGCGAACCCCCGCCACGGCAGCTGACACAGAGACTATGGCGAGGCAGACCCCCGCCACGGCAGCAACTCCAAGGAGATCCTCAATCTTGCAGCCGTCTACCACGAGACCTACCACGCGCCCAAGGCCGTCGTCAATGAGAAATGGAGAACAGCAAGAAGATGACCAAAGAAGGCCACTGCTGTATTCCCCCACATTAAGCCAGGGAAGTGATGATAGTGGAGAAGTCCGACGGGTCTGTAACGACCTAGCTGGACTTATGAGGTGCGAAGAACTTCGAGAAGCCCTACGAATCCATGGACTTCAGACCACTGGCCTGAAGGGCGACGTGAGTACCCGACTAGGTGCAGTAATGACTTCCATGTACGGTGGGACAAACCTGCCGACTATCAGACAGTACAAGTACCTTCTGTGGCTTTGGCGCCACAGAAACCTGCAGGGAAAGACGTTACTGTCATGGTCCTGCATCGCGGACCGTCAAGCTGCTTCTCGGACTATCAACAGCTGGGATCGTTTGTAAAGAGGCCTGTCTGCTCCTCACGAAGCGACAGAGGAGGAGTGTTGATGCGGCGAGTCCCAACCAGTTGAGATGTCCGATGTGTGCAGTTAGCAGCTTGAGCGAATTGTCTGCATACATGTGTGATCAAGGGAAGGCTGCGGTATGTTCCCCTTGGGTCACCATGCGAACAGCATTTTTACACGTACAGCCTGTAAGAGCTGTAGCAAAGACAACGAGGCATAGCATCTTGTACACCTAACTATGCCCAGACTTTGCAGTCACAGATCTTGGAGTATAGCGAAAAAAGGTGTGCGCTTGCATTTGAAGTCATGGCCGCCTACAATTCGAGTGATGCAGTTCTGCATCAGCAGATTAAGGATTCTTGGGGTTTAGGGTTAGTTTTGGGTTTTAGGATTCAGATTTTTGTGGTTTAGGGTTAGTTTCCGGGTTTAGGGTTTGGGGTTCAGGGTTTCGGTCTTCTGGCCACCGAGGGTTCGGACCACAAATATCAGATCCTGAGGCTAAAGTCGTTGAGCTTGGAACCCACCCCAACTTAAACGCCAACCTTGCTGGCCCCATGATGCTTATAGTATGATATGCCCCCCCAATACCCTCCTCCCTAAACCCTAGACCCTAAACCCTAAACCTGTAAAGCCTGGCATTCGGCAGTGGGTTATGCTCGGGAGTGGAACTCATCAGCTCTACTTCAAGGATCCTGGGAGTTAGTTGGGTTCCTATGAGGGTTCGATCAAGGTTCTACAAGTATTCCATAGGGGTTTTATGGGGGGTTTACTTGTGCCTTAACTGGGTTTTAAGCACTTATAGTTACCTTAATTATTACCCTGGTTACTAAGTCTCATGATCCTCTAAGTAGGAGTATTGAGTTGATCATGGGATTTAGTAGCGTCCCTTTCGTATCTCGACAGGTTCGACACAAGGGTGGCAGAGATTTTGGGAGTGCGGGCGTAGTGGGTTACTTACCAGTACTTCTATTGGGGTTATACGCCGATAGTAGTATAGATGCCTTGCGTATTGTCTCACTTACTAAACAACGTCAGATGCTCCTTTGAGTTCTCAAACCTTAAAGCCCCAAAGCCCACCTTCCGCAGATATTTGCTCTTGCAGCTCGGTGCAGGGTTTACGGTTTAGGGTTCAAAGATCTCTCTCTCTCTCTCTCTCTTTCTTTCGCTCAGAGACTCCCTCCGCAGCTACACGCTGTCGGATTTAAGCACAGCGGCGGGGTTTCGTGCGGCTCAGCCTGAGGCCCACAGGCTCAGGTTGCAGATTTAGGGTTCAGGTTTCAGGGTTTAGGCTGTTGTAAGTACAAAAACTCTGATTAAATCCTTCGCCCTAAGCTCCAGCTTCGTACCACAGTTTTCAAGGCCTACCTGCAGCAACTGGAACGACTGTTCGAGCCTGCCAACCCCCTCAAATCAAATTCCAATCACAAACCCATAGTCGACGCTGTAGCAACCCTGAGTAAGCCCTAGAAGCCCCTTCCCCAAACCCTGGACACCCTAAACCCTAAGGTGCCCCAGAGGCAAACCCTGACCGAGAAACCCTAAACCTCAGGGCAAACCCTTGATCATTCAACCCCTGTCCATTGTCTATATCTCCAAGCTGCTTGGGGCTTAAGCCTTAAACCCTGAATCCGAAATCTTAATTAACCCTCAACCCTAAACCCTAAGCCCTAAACCCTAAAACCCTTAAGCCCCTACACCCTAAAACCCTCAAACCCTAAAATCCCTTCCTAAACCCCAAAGGCTGGGCGGAGGAGCCGCTGGGTTGCTGGCTGCCATGACAGCAGGCTCCGGTTTGAGGGTTCATAGTGGCAATATGGGGGCATTACCGAATATAGGGGCCTTAAAAGGGATCCTTATGGGTTCCCTTCAGGGATCTATGAGGATTACTATAAGGGTATAGGGGCCTAAATAATTAACTATGCTGTTTTTTGGGGTTCCTTATTGTATTTATAGCATAATGGGCACCTAAACCCTATTCCGATTGTTAAGGCCTCTATAATAATGGACGTAATGATAGTAATAATGTCAATGCTAATGCGGATAATAGCAATCACCCTAAACCCTAAACCCTAAACCCTAAACCCTGATCATCTTTTAGGGTTTCTGTGCCGTACGGGCTGTAGACAGGGCTCTATGAAGGTTCTGGGAGGGGGTGGGGCGGTTTGAGGTGTAGTCATAGAGATCCTTAGGGGTGTAGGGGGGAGGGGTGTAGGGGACTATATTTCCTTAAATAGGCTTTATTCGTCCTTATTATGGGCCTTAAGGAAACGTGAATCCGAGATCAAGCAACCATCAGGTTGCCCGATGAGTTCCAGGAGGAACGAAATGCATAGCCTTAAGGCCCCCTACCCCCCCTCCCCCTACACCCCTAAGGATCCCTATGATGTAGGGTGCTGCGGGTTTAGGCATCCTATCGGCTCTTTATGAGCTCTGGAGAGGTTCTATGAGGATGCTACAAGCATTTCAGGTTTTGGAGTTTAGGGTTTAGGGACCCAGGAAGCCCGTGCCTAAACGCTTACAGACCATGTATAGAGCCTTATTGGCCTTATTGATCAACAGCCTTGCAGCTAAGCGTCAACTAAAGCTCTTGTAGACCCCATAGCCCTACAATGAACATGGGCAAGCCCTAAACCCTGAACCTGAAACCCAACCCTAAACCCTAAACCCTAAACCCTAAACCCTGAACCTGAAACCCAGAGCGGGTGTCACAATTGAGGGTCCGGGTACCTGTCCGGAAGCTGTGATTTCATCCGGAGGCTTTCAGGGATCTCTGAGCATTCCATAAGGGTTTGAGAGGGTTTAGGGCTCAGGGCTTTCATACTCTAGAGGTTTGCGGGAGTTCTGGAGTTTTCGAGATTCTATTTGCAGGTTTTCAGGGTCTTTCACTGTGTTCAGTCGGTTTTATGTCTTTTGCTTTTGTGGAGGGTTCGATGAGGGCTTTCGTAAGGTTTTTTTTTGTCGGTTTGACGGGTTCGAGGTTTAGGTTGTAGTACGAGAATTTGAGGGCTTTAGGGTTTTGGGTTGTAGCTGGCTTGTCTTGAACGTTTGCTGCTTTGGGGACTCGTTCTTACTTTTTGGAGGCACATCTCCCGAACGACATCGACGATCTTGTGGTTCTGTCCGGAACCCTGAATCCTAAACCCCGAACCCAAAAGCTTAAACCATAGTTTCTTTAACTAGCCGCTTGCACAGAGACTTCAGGGATTGAATCACGTTGTACGGCATGAAACCCAGACCTTTAAAACGCCAAACTTGGCCCGGAAATCCGGGTGGGTCGGGTTCCGGCCTTAGGGTGTAGTGTAGGGTTTAGGGTTTAGGGTTCAGGGTTCCATAAACCCCTCAGCCCTCAAACCTAAACTCTAAACCCTAAACCCTGCACCCTACACCCTGGGCCCTGGCTGAACTGCGTGATCCGACATGGCTCAGGGAGGTTGTAGATGTAGATGCCCATGCAGAGCATCGGGACCCAGGATTTCGTGTTTCCGTCTTGGGATGTCGGGTTTAGGCTCGGATGAAGCAGACGGCGTAGGATTTCGGCCTCCTCAGGCAGATAGGTCATCGGGACATGTTGCGGTTTGGGGTTTAGGGTTTTGTTTAGGGTTGCATAAGTTCCGTAAACCCCTAAAGGGTTTAGGGTTTAGGGTTTAGGGTAGAAAGGTCTTCAAAGGTCTAATCTGGTAAACCTGTTAAACCCTGCGAGACCCCTTGAAACAGAAGACACACAAACAAACCGATAAACAGGAAAGGTCCTCAAGCACCAAAGGAAGCCGTGTACAAGGTATCTAGGGGGTTATTCTGGAAGGTATGACCGGATTTTATATGAATTCCTTCAAGGTTTGTACAACCCAGACCTTCCAAAATCCCTTAATTAAGGAATATCCCTTGAATTATAGTAGGATCTTTTTTGGAAGGTTTGTACAAAGGGTCCTCTTTGCGTGCTCATGGCGAGCGTCAGCACTTCTGAGAAGTTGGCGCAGCAGGGCCTCTCGCCCGCGCCAGGCACCCTCACACATGGAACGAGGTTCTTTTTAAGGGTTCCTAGAGGGTTTCCTGTAAGGGTTTGCATAGGGGATCTATAAGCCTGTAAGAGTTTAGGTTTAAGATTTAGGGTTTAGGGTGTAGGCTTTAGGTTTAGGAGTAAGGGTTCGGGGTCGGGGTCTGGAGATTGCAGTTCACTGGTAAGGATTCTGGGTTTCTTAAATGTTCCGCTTCAGGTTTCGTAAGGGGTTGTGAAAGGGTTTGGGTTTCAGGGTTCATTTTGCCGGCTCTTGTTCTATTCCGGGCTCTCCGACTCTACTAACCAATGGGTTTTGCAAGAGATCTACTTGGAGGATCATGGGACTTAGTAAGAAAGGTCACAAGTACCCTAAGTGGGGTTATATGTAGTTATATGTACACTTACCTTGATCATAGCCCTAGTTACTAAGTCCCATGATCCCTTAAGTAGGAAAGTCTTCGAGTCGAGGGGTTTAAGGAGCAAGGGACTTCTCGAGCTGTGTTATAGGTAGGGTAACGAGATTACATCCACTGGGAATCCCTTTCATGACTTGCGATCCTTATTTCTGAATCGGTCCTGATCCTTGATTTCGGGTTAAGGGGTGTCTTGAACTTAGATTAGGTGTACCTTTCTTGAGGTGTGCCAGAGATGTGCAGAGCTTGTAGATTGTAGGATTTTCAGGCCTTCCAGGGGCTTTCAATAATTTTCGGATTTTGGGGTTGGAGGCTTGTCGAGCTTGGGGCGTTATGGGTTTGAAAAGTCAGCATATAAGGGTTCCGTGAGGGTTTATATCTGTCTGATTGGGCTTTGTTGGTCTCGACAAGTAGACACGGAATTTGGGGTGCATTGCATTGCAGTCCATACTTAAATAGTGGCTGTCAGGGGTTTGCGGTTTAAATGGTGGCTACCCTAAACGCGAAACTTCAAAACCTTAATTCCCTAAAACCCTGGTAACCCTAAAGCCCTTTAGGCCCTAAGCCCTAAAACCTTAAAGCCTCAAGCCCTATTAGGGCTTTCCCAGACCCCCGGGAGGATCTAGAAAGTAGATCCCCTAATTTGAGGCCCTATACTACTAAGGGTACTTTATAGGAACCCCCATTAAGGGATCTACTTTTGGATCCTCCCGGGGGTCTGGTCGCGGGGCTCAGGGCTGGGTAGCCCCGCGGCTCTGAGGGCTTCGGTCTCAAGGCGTAAGGCAGGCCTACACGAAGGTTTGGGTTTTTGGGTTTGAGGGTTTAGGGTCTAGGGTTTGGGATCTAGGGTTACAAGGGTGCTATTGGGGATTTGCACAAGTCTGCATTAGGACTTAGAAGGGTTCGACAGGATTGTGTAAGGATGTTTACTTACAAGGATCTGCGGCGGATCGCGTTGTTGAAGTCGGTCCTCGTGTTAGACTTGGATGTCAGCTGTGGAGGTAGGACAGTATCGAGGTTTACCGGTTCTGCAGTTACCTACGGCTTGAGGGCTTGGGTCATTGGATGTAGCCTTCAGGCCTCATTTTAAGATTCCTTTCTAAGCTCGTTACATACTAGTTCCCGAACGGTAGTCTCCTGTGCCCGAAACTAACCCTACCAGCCCTAAACCCTAAACCCTAAATCCCTAGGTAGGGCTTTGGGACATTTTATATTTCCCTTGTTGGGCTTAAGAGGATCTTATTTACTAATATTTTTCAAAGGCTCTAAAAGCCCCACCTAAATCCGAAGCCCTAAATCCTAAATCCTAAACCCGGCCTCTGAGCAGGTCAGCAAGGCATCGAGGTGCCCAATGTCTCTTGGGAAGGGTGGGGGTTGGGGCGGTGTTTCTAAGGCGGGTTTAGGGTTTAGGATTTAGGGTGTAAGGTTTATAGGGTTTAGGGTTTAGGGTGTTTCTAAGGTTGTCTTTTTTGTTTAACGGCTTAAGGAGTCCTGCGCGGTTGTCTGCCGGGTTTTGACGGCTCTTGGGGCGTGGGGTTTGTTTAGGAACAGCCATGATTCTGGATTTGGGGCTCCGGGTGGTTTGAGGGGTTCAGGGCTTAGTAGTGGTTTAGGAGTGATGTATGGGTTTCTGCAAGGGTCAGGCTTGTTTGTAATGGGGCTTGTTCACACATTCTAGGGTTTAGCCCGAGGTTTTGGGTTTAGGATTTAGGTTTGGATTTTGTGGGTGTAGGGTCAGTAAAGAAACACTCAACGAAACTCCTGGACGAAGCCCTAACACATCTTTTAGAGTCCTCAACCTCCTTCAGTGTTTTACCGATGTACATGTGAACATACGTATGTGTGTGTGTACATATATGTATACATCGCTCTTTCTCTATATAAACATATAGATATAAATGGTTATATATATACACACATACCTATCTAAAGTTATAGGATGATGTTGACTTAACTAGCCAAGGGGTTTTGAAGTTTCAAAGCCCTGGCCGAAATGTAAAACAAGATTTCCTAAACTGCCCTTAACTGAGCCGAAACAGAAAAACACCCCACAACTAGGGTTTAGGGGTTTAGGGTTTTGGGGGTTTAGGGTTTAGGGTGACTTCTAAAGGCCTTATCGAATCCCGAGGATGCTCGAAGGATCCTTTACAGGAGACGCTTTAATGTATGCAACCCGTATAGAGTTTTTCAACATCCCTCACAGGCGCTCAAAAAGACACTACTTAGAAGAACATGGGACTTAGAAACCAGGGTTATAATGAAGGTAACTACACTTACAATCACTTATAATTAACCCGACTTAGGGTACTCAAAACCTTACTATGTCCCATGATTCTCCAAGTAGGACGTCGACCTCTCGCCTTCTCCAGCAAGG